AATTTTTTAAAAAGACTTTTTCATGGAAAAATTTTAAACATTTCTTACTTAAGGTTACTAATTTTATAATCTAAAAGGTTATGTAGACAAAAAGTTATAATCTGAACATTTTATTGAGAAATTGACATTTTTATAAAATGAGGCATTTTACACTTGATCAAAATTATAAGACCAGAGACAAAAATTCTACAAAATTGTACAAAAACATTCAACAACCATATTTAATAATGAGTTCTACCTCCACTGGTTTTGATGACTTCAAAAATTCTTTGGGGCATGCTAGAAATTAGTGTTTCCATTAAGCTGTGAGGAATATTGCTCCAGCTTCTGAAGATAGCTTCACGAAGTTCATTTTTTGTTGAATATTGTTTGCCATTTCGATAAACATGCCATCCATGCCCAAACATTTTCAATTGGGTTCAAGTCCGGTGAGCATGCAGGATGTCTCAAGAGATGGACCCCATTTTCTTGTAGAAAGGTCAAGGTCTGGCATGCAGTGTGGATTGCAGCATTATCCTGTTGGAATAACCATCCATCCCCACACAAATGATGGCCCTCCATTATCAACGATGCTTTTTGTAGCATGCTAACATAACCAGCTGCTGTCTGACGACCCGGCACTACCTGGAGCTCCATTGTCCCTCTGTAAGAAAAGGCACCCCATACCATTAGGGACCCTCCACCACAATGATGTGTGGAGAAAATTCCAGGAGGCATGTTTTTGTTATGCCAATATTGTTGGAAGCCATCAGGACCATCTAAATTGAATATTTTCTCATCAGAAAACAGGACTTTCTTCCACTTCTCAATGTCCCATGTTTGGTATTCACAGCTAAACCTTAAACGGTTCACTTTGTGATGTGGAAGCAGCCAAAGAATTTATTTGTGCTTTTTATTTATCATGCCTTTTTGTCATAAGTGTCGTCTGATGGTTACTGGACTGCAATCGGCATCTGTGGCTGCCTTAATTTGACTAGAAGAAAGTCCAATGGCTTTCACAACAACCTGTCTTATTCTCCTACTCAATGCCGGAGAAATTTTTTGGGCCTACCAATAGACTTTGCGTTTCCATAATTCGCACTGTCCTTTAGAAAGTTGCAAATCACAGTTTTACTGTGATTTACCTTAGCTGCGATCGCCTACTGTGACAAACCTTGAATATGTAAATCTAGAATTCGAGCACGCTCAACTTTGGTAAGTTTGCTTGCTTTAGGCATGGTGACACCTTTACGCAGTGATTGCTAATCTCTAGCTGAACTAAAAACATTGGAATTACCCTAGATCTAACAATTTATACCCCCTGGTCTTATAATTTTGATCAAGTGTAAAATACCTCATTTTATAAAAATGTCCATTTCTAAATAAATTGATCGAATTATAACTTTTGTCTACATAACCTTTTAGATTATAAAATTAGTAACCTTAAGTAAGAAAAAATTTATAATGTATCCATGACAATCTCTTATAAAAGTTTTTCAAGTGGTCTTAAATTTTTGATCAGGAGTGTATTCCTTGCCAAATAATAGGTGTTTAGGTGATAGGAAAAAACAGTACTTCTGTTTCAATTTCTGTGATGAGGAGTTATTATTTACACTATTTACATTTGAACTATTGTCCTTATTTTTGTTGTTGTTATCACAAGGTTTTGGCTGTGGTGTTTTCTGGCCTTCATCAAGTGTATATTGCTCTTGGTAACCTACAGGGAATTCTGAATGAAAAAAAAGTATATTGCAGGAAACAATTTTGTCATATTTATTATTGAAAATTATCCTGTTATTTAATCCATTTAATATTTCATGCAGTTATGAGTTTTATATATTGACTTGTTTTGAATATAATAATCTGTTTAAAAGGAAAATATTTGAATAAGTACTAAAAAAAGAAAAAAGGATTTCTGACTTTTATTAAAAGTTTATTTATGGAAATTCTCAAATTCTTTGATACTATAGTTTATAGCATGCATTTTGAGAGTATTTTTAATTTTATCCTACAAGAAATTGCTTCCATATCATTTACAGATATGACAGCTATGTAGAAAGTAGTCAACCATTTAATATTAACAAAACAATCTACTTAGAGCAACGGCATATTAATCATATTTAAAGTACTCCTTTAGTGGATAGTACAGTTTCCCCAGTGTCCCTCCTAATTTTCAAAACAATTTGAGAAGTCCTTATTGGAATTACAAAATTTAATCAATGCTATAAAAACAGACATTAAAAAAAAAGAAAAAAAAAAAAGAAAGAAAATACAGCCACAGTAAAAAGCAATGGGATGGTGGGAAACTGGAATTTAGGGGATAAGAAATATAAACGTATCAATAATATATTGATACATGTATACTTATACTATAGACCAGTGTTTCCCAAATGATGCTGTGTGCCTCAAGAGGATAGAAGGTAAGGTGGAATGATTGAAAGACAATGAAAGATTTAGAAACAGTTTCAAAAAATTCATATGTCAAAAATAAATGATTTCAAAATGTAAGATACTATTATGAATTGCATGCAGGAGTCACAGTATTAACAGTTATCTATAAAAAAAAGAATGCATAAACATAAAAATGTCTTAAAATAAACAATTATGTTGTATTATTACTGACTCACTGGAAACAGTATGCATTCAACTGCCTCAAGTGTAATGGCTGTAGATATTTATCGTCTTTGTGACTTCAGATGTAAATGAGTCACCTTAAGTTATAAATAATTATTGACAGATTTTATCATTGTGATATTTTTGCTTTATATCAAGTATTAAGAATATAGTAACTAGGATCTGCAAATTGGAGGAGAGTTCTCTGATAATTATGACTTTGAATTCACAGTTATCTCCCTTAAACCTTCTGTTTTTTTATTTTTAAATGTACTTTTTATTATATAAAATTTGATGAGGCATGAGCAAATTTTCATTCTGAAAATGCAGCCCAAAGAAAAAATGTTTGTGAACTACTATTATAGACAGATCACACTGAGACAACAACCAGTCCTTTTGTTTACACAAAGTAAGTTGTCTTGATTTAATATAAATTGCCTCAAGAATTTTCAGGGTTGAAATGATGGTGAACTTTTTGGGTTTACCATTATGATTGCATTCTCCATGGAGTTTTAGCATAATTTTAATGAAAAGCCAAAATCATAAGGAATTAAATCTAGACTGTAGATGGCACTGACCGAACTGAGTGATGCAAGGTTTCTTTATAAAATAGAAAAAAAAACTTCTTAGTCATTGTGAGTCACTCCACAGGAGAGTGTCTGTTCATGCATGCACAGTAAAGTTCCCTTTGACTGGTTGTCAACACTGCTAAATTATTTACATTGTTCAGACTATTAGCCTTATCTTTGTTGTCATATTCATAATTGTACGCTCTGGCCTGCTTCAGGATTGAAATTTTGAACCAAACCCTTTATTTCATCCACTGGGGTAGACTGTTCTAGTTCCACGTCATGCCTTTTCTGAATATTTCAGTTATTTCCCATTAACTCGACTCTCCAAGTTATTTGTTCACTTCTGCTGTTGCCAGGTATTGAACCTACAACTCTGGATTACCAACACTTTCATCAACTGGGCTGTGTGTTAATGAGGACATCAGTGTAAGAATTTTTGGGACTTATAAACCTAATGTTTAAGTAACTATTTTTTTTTTTTTTTTTTTAAAACCAGAGTTCATATTAAAATTTGTTGTCATTGTTTTTCTCTAGCATTCCATATTACAGGTTCCCATATTGTAATCAAGTCTATGCTTGGCCAGCTTATGAGATTCTTGTGGCCTACCATATGTGCTGAAACGCTGTTAATATGACAACAGAGTTGAGGACAATAGTCCAAACAATGTAAATACTGTAAATAATTAGAATATCTCATCTCAGAAATATAGACAGATCCTGAAGAAGGCTGGAGTGTACAATATCCGAAATGTCATGAATATAACAATAAAGATGAGGACAACAGTCCAAACAATTTAAATACTCTAAATAATTACAATACCTCATCTCAGAAATATAGACAGATACTGCTTAACTTGTTCTCAAGATATTCAAAATGACTGCATTATTTTCAGACCGGTCATATATAATACAACAAATAAAGACATTAAAAACAATGAAATGTGTTCAGTGATATCCACAATAAAATCCCTTTGATTAAATTTGAAAAATACTTCAATATAACAAACAAAAGTACTTATTGGTGTAATAGGTCTTTGAGAGAAGACAAGAATTTCTACTTATAATAGAGCAAAGATAAATGGATTATTTCATGTTATTTCAATGCTGAATGTCTCACTGTTGTGGTCCCATCCTGATGAAGCTAAATAAATACCTACATTAACCTTTACTAGTAGAGGAGAACAATATCTATTGACTATTTAATTTTGAGTACTGGATTTGTAACAAAAGACTATTTTGTTACTGTTGTTGTAAGTGCAAGTCTGTTTGTGTAATTATGGAAATAAAAATAAAAAAAAGAAAGCAAAAATAAATTTTTAAATAGTGTTAAATAAAAATAAACTTTGATAATAAGTATGTTTTATTCTTTTATTAAGATTTAAATTATCATTAAAAGAATGAGAGAAATGCCAAAAATAAAAAAGAAATATGCTGTAGATTCTGATTAAAATGTAACGCTGGTTATAAGGAATGACTGCTTAGTCGGAAAAATTTATACAAGAGCCAAATGTATGGAATATTTTGGCTTTTTTTTATGTAGAGTCATGTAAAAAGAATGGAAGTTCTTATTGAGAAAAATTCACAGACCTGCTATATTCCACTTAAGCAAAATCAAATGTATTCAGTAAGTTTTAAAAAATAAATTAAAAAAAAAGGGAGAAAATAACTGCAGAAATTAATGACATTCATTTTCTTTTTTCAACAACAAAAGCTTTTTTCGAGCAAATCTTTGCCAATTTGAGTAATATTAAAATTGTTCAATATTATAATATATAAAACAATTTCCATATTGTCAAAGTCAACATATATTATCCAACAAGTTCATAAATTTCATTTTTATGAAAAAGATTTCAGTTCTTCCATGTTGTTATTGACTTGGTTCAAGCGCAGATAACAAGTTTGAAGGCAAGCCAAATTGGATTCAATGAAGCTCAATGCCTCTTCCTATAATAGAATAAAAAGAAAATGATTTTAATTAGAGTATTTCAATATAAAAACTGAAGCATCTTAAGATAATAATGAACATTAATTAATTTCTCCTCCACAAAAATTGTTTCAATTAATTTTCTCAAGTGTTCACAATATAGACATAACTTTATCTACATTTCTTCAACATATACATACATACATACATATGCACAAATTATTTCTTAAAACTTTGCAAGGACGTGTCATCTCTCATTGAATTTGGAATGCCACAAATTGTACTAACGTTGGTTTAAGAGAGTCAAATGCACATGAAACATGATTGGCCAATGAAAATCAAACGATACAAAAGTAGAAATACCAGAACTTCTTTTTCTCCATATCTCATTCTCTTTAATAAAAGTGAAACATGTTATATTGATAAATGTTTCCTATTTGTTTGTAACTTATTCTATCAGATTCTGATCCATATTTGATTTACATTTGATCCCAACTCACACACACACACACACATATATATATGAAAGAGAGAAAGAGAGAGAGAGAGAGAGAGCAGGGGATACAGATAACATATTAGGTGTGCATAAAACTTTACAGTATTTGCTTTTATTAGGAGAAAAACTTTCTATACTGTATTCATTTGGTCTATTTTAAAAACAAGAGGGCAATGGGAACTAATATAATCCTCATCCCTATATATATATATATATATATATATATATATATATATATATATATATTATAAAAATACCCTCCTCCCTGTAAATATAAATTAGTTTCAGAAATGCAGCAAAGTATTTTGCTTATTGGAAATATTAAGTTTTATCTACTAGCTTGAAATTAAACTAAAATAAAAGCTTCAAAGTGTTTTCAAAATTAACTTCTTCAAATTTCATTTAATTTGATACTATAGTTTATAGCATGCATTTTGAAAGTATTTTTTATTTTATCCTACAGGAAATTGCTTTAATGGCTTCCATATCATTTACAGATATGATATCTATATAGAAAGTAGCCAACCATTTAATATTAACAACACATAACCTACTTAGATCAATGGAATATTAATCATCTTTAAAGTACTCCTTTGGAGGATAGCACAGATTCCCCAGTGTTCCTCTTAACTTTCAAAACAATTTGAGATGTTCTTATTAGATTTACAATATTTAATCCATGCTATAAAAAAAAGACTTTTAAAAAAAAAAAAAAAAAAAAAAAAAAAAAAAAAAAAAAAAAGAAAAGGATTGAACAAAAGAAAATACATCCACAGTAAATAGCAATGTGATGGTGAGGGTAGTCGAATTGGGGGATAAAAAATACAAAAGTATCAATAATATATTGACACATATATACTTATGCTAGACAGATCACACTGAAGCCCAACAACCGGTCTTTTTGTTTACACAAAGTAGTCTTGATTTAATCTAAATTGTCTCAAGTACTTTCAGGTGAAAATCACATTTGGGGTTCACCATTATAATTGAATTCTTCTTACTCTCATTCATGGAGTAATAACATAATTTTAGTGAAAAGCCAAAGGTTGTAAGGAAGCAAATCTAGACTGTAGATGGCACTGCCTGAACTGAGTGATGCAATGTTACTTTATAAAATGAGAAAAAAAATCTTCTCGCTTGATCATTGCGAATATGATAGGCATGACTGAGTCACCCCACAGGAGAGTGTTCATGGTTGCACAATGAGGTTCCCTCAAACTGGTTGTTAATATTGCTTAACTAGTTCTCAAGATATTCAAAATGACTGCATTATTTTCAGACCGGTCATATATAATACAACAAATAAAGACATTAAAAACAATGAAATGTGTTCAGTGATATCCACAATAAAATCCCTTTGATTAAATTTGAAAAATACTTCAATGTAACAAACAAAAGTACTTATTGCTGTAATAGGTCTTTGAGAGGATGCAAGCTTTTCTACTTATGATAGAGCAGAGATAAATGGATTATTTCATGTTAATTCAATGCTGAATATCTCACTGTTGTGGTCCCATCCTGATGAAGCTAAATAAATACCTACATTAACCTTTACTAGTAAAGGAGACCAATATCTATTGACTATTTAATTTTGAGTACTGGATTTGTAACAAAAGACCATTTTGTTACTGTTGTTGTAAGTGCAAGTCTGTTTGTGTAATTATGGAAATAAAAAAAAGAAAGCAAAAATAAATTTTTAAATAGTGTTAAATAAAAATAAACTTTGATAAGAATATGTTTTATTCTTTTATTAAGATTTAAATTATCATTAAAAGAATGAGAGAAATGCCAAAAACAAAAAAGAAATATGCTGTAGATTCTGATTAAAATGTAATGCTGGTTACAAGGAATGACTGCTTAGTCGGAAAAATTTATACAAGAGCCAAATGTATGGAATATTTTGGCTTTTTTTTATGTAGAGTCATGTAAAAAGAATGGAAGTTCTTATTGAGAAAAATTCACAGTCATGTTCCACTTAAGCAAAATCAAATGTATTCAGAAGGTTTTAAAAAATAAATAAAAAAGGAGAGTAAACAAAAGCAGAAATTAATTGCACAACCATCGACAGTTCCCAAATAATTCTCTCTACCCAATTTAATTCACAAGTCTTGAGTCAACCTGTGGTATGGTTTTCAAGGCACTTTCCAAAGGTTCCAGATATTGGGATCATCTCCACAGGTCGTAAAAACATAAAAACAGGGAATAAACCTCTACTTCTGTTCAAAAGACCGAGGAGGAAAAAATGGGGGAGGGGGAGGATAATAAATTTTTATTTTAACTAAATATAAATCCTTAGATATAAGATACTATTAAGCATATGAATCCTCCTCATTGGTATATGAGTTTTAAGTTATGGTGTCTATATCTGTATTGATTGGTAGATCAATGTAGAATACTCTGTGGTAAATGCAGGTAACAGTTCGCAATGAGTGCTCAGCAGAGGTCAGATTTACTGGATTCAATGAATGAAAGTGGCTGTATAGGAGTAACTGCTTTAAGAGTGATTTGGAGGCAATATTGATTGATAACAGTGATAGTGATAAAAGATCTAGATCCATAATTAATGAAGAGCCAGAGAGTCAGGATAGAGGTGAGTGTCAACACAATGAAGTTTCTTATGGCAAATTTAGAATAAGATTTTTTTTTAACACTTACAGACACTATGTTTGATATATTCCTCTAAGTACAGGAGTCCAGGTATATAGAATATCAGTTCTGAGTTCAAAAGTTAAAATAAAATTGTTTATCTTGTATTAAAAAGGAAATTACTTTGTAACTATTTACACTATTTAGACTGTTCACATCAAAAATTTCCAGTTTCAAACCGTTATCCATTACACCACCTGCACATCCAAGCTTACAGCACCTGGTATTTCAGAGCAGTCACCCATCTATGTACTGACCAGGCTTGATGTTGCTTAATTTCAGTGATCATATGAGAACTAGTGTTTCAATGTGATATGGTTGTAAGCAAGTAATATTAAATACTTAATGTAATGAGTTGGTCGGTCAATTTGACACCCCCAAAGCGAGTGGAGGTGGGCAGGCGCGGAACCTGTGATTGGTAGCTGGCTTGTTGGTGTTTTGCATGGGCGAGTTACCAAGATCTATGTAAAGGGCCGGAATGAGAAGGAGGGCAGTACCTCTCAGAAGTGGAGACTGTGCCCGTTGCTACGACAGTAGGAGAGAGATGAAATTTTTTTTTTTCTTTTGTGACACATTTCAACACAGATTTACTGTATTTCATGGCATAAGACCCACATTTTTACTTCCTCAAATATTAGAATTTAATAATTTTGTAATAAATGCACGTGGATACCATGGCTGTGATGAGGACATCACATACTAAATTTACATGGTAAATGACTTTATCTCAGTCTTCAAAAGAGCCTCCCACTTGATCAAAAATGAATGAAATAATAGACAAATTTAAAATTTTAGGACCAAGTGGCACTTCACTGAATGTTGGAAATTTCTGTTTGATGGCTTACATAAACAGTTACAACTAGGAATGAGAGTAATTCTGGAACATCTGTTAAAGGGGACAGATTCTCCATCAAATTAACTCCAATGTTGCCTGTTAGAATTACCAGACATTCATGGTGATGTAGGGATGGACAGAGAGAGTCAGTGTTCTTGCTGGTTGAAGGGAAAAACCTGATCCATAGTCTGTCATGGAAGAAGTTGTCCCAAGTGTCACATATCGACCCACCAGATTGTACAAGTTAATCACTGGATAAATAACCAAATGATTAAAAACAGGATTGATACTTTCATTTTCTCTTGTGAATGTATAGCAGACCTTTGCCAGTTTTTGTGCACACTGATGTGAACAATAGAGATGCAACGTGGAGTTATGTGCCTGGTTGGTGAAAAGCTGAGAAAGGGGTTCATTGTATGTTCACACATGAAAAGAAGCTTGCTTTGAACTAAGCAAAATGATAAGTAAATAAAAATAAAATTAAATAAATCTGTTGCTAAGAACAATACTTACTAATTTATTAGGAGACGCCAAGTCAGCATTCACCAACCATTCTATGTTGTTTAAATTTTTTACAAGGTCCCTTAATATACTGGAAACCTGTGAGAACATCTTCATAGTGGGCCTAGAGAAGAAAAATATTTTTAAAAATTATTTTAAAAAATAGAAACAATAAGCGCAAAAAAAAAAAAAAATTTCATGTGCAATTAAAAAAAAAATTAAAAGATCCATTATTCAGGTTTTATGAATAGCCTTTTTATTTCTGAAGGCTCAAGCTTTACAGTTCAGAATCAGGATAAATTGTGGGCATAATAATAGTCAAAAACAACTTTTAAAAGCAGGGCTGTGGAGTTGGAAGCAATTAAGGGGTTACTAGATTTGGAATCGCTAAAACTATATAGACTCCAACTAGTTGAATTTACACTTTATGTAAAAAGTCTTACATTTTTATTTTTATTGTTATTTCTTCTACTGTATATTTACTATTTCCTTTAAAGAAATTCATCTCAACTTCTTTTTAAAGTTATTTTATTTTTTGTAGTTATTTTGCATTTGCATATGTAAAAAAAACAAAAAAAACTTACATTATAGAATTTTTATTTTTGTTATGTCTTTTACCTTCTGTAAAAGATTATATTTCAACTTCTTTTATAAAGTAGTTTTATTGTTGTTCTGTACTTATTTCTTATTTGCAAAGATATATATATGTAAAAAGTCTTACATTATAGCATTTTTATTTTTTCTATATCCTTTCAAAGATTTTGTCTCTAATTCTGTTAGAAAATACTGAAGAAAGTTTAGGTATGACATAAAAGCCATAATATCTTTATTCTTTGATATAAACCAATTATGATATAGGGCTACTCAAGTTAGGAGTACAAGCATAGACTTTGGGATTTGTTGGCCATAATCACTTAATTAAATAAAGAGGAGTTGGATTAAAAAAAAAAAAAACAGCTCCAAATACAAATTTAGAAAAGACAAAAGCAAAAGAGTTCCTATCCACCCATGACTAACATTAAACAAAAAAAAAAAAAAAAAAAAAAAATCAACATAGTGCAATAATAGATAAGGTCATTAATATATTTGAAAGGAGGCTTATATTTTTTCTGAAAAATAAAAATAAATAAAAAATCCTTACTCATGATGTTTAAGTTCCAATTTTATAGAATTTTCAACAAGTGGTCTTTGAAGAGCAGTCAGCAGGGTCTGTTTTTCTTGCACTAGAGATTTTAGATGATCAGTGAAATTGGAAATCATTGCGATTCTTTGTTCTAGAAGAAAAAAAATCATGGTGATAACACCATTGCAAAACACTCAGAATTACCTTTTAGTTTACAAAAATAAAATGTTACACACAAATATAAAGTAAAATAAAGGAAGGGTTAGCAAGCTAGTTTTGCAAATCATTTATTAGGTGTAATTTCCTATAGTGTCCACCTAAACAAAGCTTAGAAAATAGGTGCTGTCCTCCTTAAATATATTATTTTTTACTGGAAATATATATTTTATTTTTATATAGTAAGGATAAATAAAACTACTTTTGACAAGCATTCTTTATTTTTAACTGTTTAGGCAAATATGCATACACTATAAATATATCCTTTACAGTGAATTCAGCACTGACCATTGATCGACTTATGGCCACATCAAATTGAAACACCAGTTCCCGTATGGTTATGTCAAGCCTAGTCAGTACCTAGATAGGTGACCATTTGAGAATAACAAGTGCTGCAAACTTGGATGTGCAGTTGGTGTAATGGATAATGGCTTGGAATTTTTAATCAGAGAGCTGAGTTCAAATTCTCGTTGGGTTTATTATATTCACTTACGAGTAAATACCCTTGGGAAAAGTATGGATCCACCTGTTCTCCTCCAGCTATGGGTTAATTAGTAAGACTTGTATCACCTAAACCATTATTATCTAGGTAAAAAAAAAAAAAAAAAAAAAAAAAAATTTACAATCTAAAAATATTTTCAGGCTTTAAATAACTAGCAGAAAACAAATCAATCATGACCATAGATCCCACAGCTACTGTATGCATTGCTATAAAGATCAACCGAGACAGACTATGAAAAAGGATAACATCAACCGGCAACAGGAGGAACTAGCAAAAAATTGTTCACACTGGTGGTTGAAAAGATTTCTAACAAGAATGGCATAAAAACAAAGCGGATGAGTACAACTCCATCCAAGATTGGACCCAATGACCAGGTGTAATCTGCAAGGTGTATGTTCCATGCAAAGATTTGTCTTGGCAGTATAGACATGGGAATTGGACCACCCAAATGCTGACTGGGCTTGACACTGCCTCCCAATAAATAAAGAAAAAAAAGAATACAGAATTACATTTAAGTAACATGCCTAATAAAACCATTCATTAATTATTTATAACTGGAGAAAATATCACTATACATTTATTTAGCACAAATTCATATTAAAAGCCTGCTTGCATTTAACTTAAAATTAAATTAACTGTTGTTTATCTGCTTTCCATTCAAACAAATTTAAGTACATACTTTAATTTATAAATATACAGGAAAATAAGAAATGTTTGATATGCAAAACTTCATTATGAATTTACTTGTTTGATAAAGTAATAATTGTTGCTATATTGCAGTAATCCAATTGCTTCAATGAGGGAAAACTAGCTTTTAACATTCAATATCTCCAAAACCAAACTAATAATGTTCAGTCATTGCCTATCATGATGAATGATTATTATCTCAAGGAGACTTCTTGAACGCCTATTAAGACTAAAGTTCACCCTAGACCAGTGGTCCCCAAATGGTATGGCATACCTCATGTGCAGCAGAAGAGGATAGCAGGTGAGGTGGAATGATTGAAAGACAATCAAAGATTTAGAAACAGTTTTAAAAAATTCACATGCCAAAAATAAATGTGACCTTAAAATTTAAAATATTATTATGGATTGCATGTAATTTTATGCATGAGTCCCTAGTATAAATAGTTATTAACTGAGTTTATCATTGTGATATTTTTGCATTATATCAAGTATTAAGAATATAGTAAGTAGGCTCCTCAAATTGGGGGTGAGAGTTATCAATGATAATATTCTGATTTCAAATCCACGGTTATCTCCCTTTAACAGTCTCTTTTTTTATTTTTAAATGTACTTTTTATCATAAAATTAGGTGAGGTGCAAGCAAATTTTAATTTTGAAAATGCATTCCAGAGGAAAAAAAAAGGAATCACTAACCTAGACCTCAAGCCGAACTCATATATATATATATATATATATATATATATATATATATATAATCCATTACTAAAGATGCTGGAAAAATGATTGGTTCCTTGTACTGCTCCAGTAAATATCTAATTCCTCATGTTATGCTATATCTTTATAACAGCCAGATCAGACAAGTGTGGGTGATGAATTATTTTCTATTCTACAACTCCTGTCCCACAGATGAAACATCACAAATCTCTTGCTATTTCCATAGCAAATGTTAAAATGAACTACATTTCAACCAGTTCTGACCTTCACAGCTAAGACCTGCGATACCACATACACTGGCATAAAACGTGTCCATCCTCTTTGTATTCCATTAGAAGTATGAAAGAACTATGCAGGCTTCTCAAGAGCTGCTACTTTATGGAACAGACTCTTGAGAGGATGTTTCCCCATTTGCTACAATCTTAACCTCTTCAAGTCCAAGGTTAACCATTATCTTTCCTACATATCATGTAATTCTTACCTCTTACTCTCATATAACAACCACATTAGCAATCCTTTTGGGCCTGGTAAAGAAAAAAAAAAAAAAAAAACTGGTTTCATTTTGTAGTAAACTGAAACAAATTCACAGAGCCGTAAGTCCAAATAGCCATAAACCCACTTGCTTCTCTCATTTGTTCACTGCCACTTACTTTATATGCATTCATAGCCAGAATGTTTGGGTTGTTCCATCATCCTCATAGGTAGCACATGTGAGTTATTCCATTAACCATTTTCTTTTATAAACAATGGAATGAGTTTTATTTGTAGTATGGAACCAATGTCATTGGCATGCACATGCCCTCAGTTTTTTTTTTTTTTGGAAGGTAAGTGTATTTCTTCTATTCACATTTTAAGAAGAGAGAGAGATAGGAAGAAAAAACAAAAACAAAAAAACTTACGAATTTGGTTAGAATGAAGAATGTCTGCTGATTCTTTATCCTGAGACCTTTGTTGAATTTCAAACGTTATCTGCCAATGAAACATAAAAGAAATGAAAAAATAATTGTGAATTATTGAACTCGTTCTTTGCACTAACTTTATTGTTGCCATCAATGTTTTGAACAATGTATTCTACAGCTTTCTTTAGGTACTGAAGAAGGCTCGAGAATGGATTAGCCAAAATGCTGTGTTAACAACACAAACAATAGGTTCAATAGTCAAAAGAACAACTGATTGAATGTTCATCCTCGTCAAAATAAAGAACAAGTACATAGACATATTAGAAAAATATTCATTTGTTTGTTATGAGTATAAAATGTATCTCTTCACAGTAAGTTTGTAATCTTTTCTTATTGCTTGAATATCTAAGTAAAATACTGAAACTATTTTATTTTTTTTTTAAACTGTCGAAGTATCTTCTAAGGACTAAGTTTACAATATGACTAAGTTCGTATGCTATAATTTGAAAAAATTAAACATCTCAATTTTAAAAAAATATTCTAAATATAAATTGTTCAAAGAAAAACATATTAAAAAAAAATCTTTGGGGAAAATGGTTGCCTCATTTTTAGACATGCATTTACCTTCAACAGGACACTCAGTTTTTCTTCTACAATTCCATGTTCCATTGCTCCACTGTTTAGAAATTTACTTAAGAGTTTACTCTTGTGGGCTGAGATGATCCTTTCTATTTTGCTAACACAAGAGTAACTAATTTTAAATTATTAAAAATTTTTGATAAGGGATTTTTATTATTAAAATGCTTATCTATTAGTTTTAAGAAGAAATGGCCTATATTAATAGTGGAAAGTCTGCAGAAAGGAGGTTTGAACCAAATGACTTACCTTTTTCTGTTTTTAGAATTATAGTTTTTAATTTCTTTTTGGTAATGTAATGCTTGTTTATATTTGCTATTTCTTAGTGGTTGATTATATATAAACTTACTTTCATTAAAAAGTCTTTTGTTGACAGTTTTTATATATATATATTATAAATTAACTGATTTAAAATATGTTTTTTTCGTTACAAAGTAATAACCATGTTTCAAAAATGGAAGCTAAAAGCTTCAAATTTAATTTTGTAATTAAATTAAAAACATCCATTAGTTCCATTTTATCAAGCAAATTTTAGAGTAACTTATTTTTTAAATTTACTGATTTTTAAAGGCACCGAAAAATTCATAATTCACTGTTTCCAAGGATACAGAGAGATCCAATCATTCAGACAAGGGGTGGTAGCGTGTTCATTTTTATTAACTTTTGTTGTACAAGTTATTAGTTACGTTCGAAAAAGGGGTTATGTTTAGGTAGGGTAGGGATGTATTTTTCAACAAATTCTGACATCTGTTAAATGCATGTCATCTGGGGTTTTTAAAAATTTTATTGGTAATGGCAAAAAATTCTTATGGCATTTTTCTATTTGTATACTTAAAGATTTTTTGGGGATGTTTAGGTTAGAATACGTTTTATTTAACTACAATTTTAAAATATTTTCACTTTTAATTTTTAATAGACTATATTTCTTTTAAAAGAAGTAAATGTACTAGAATTACTTACAGTATATAAAATTATTTTTTTTTATATCAAATATTAGTATGTATATTACCAGGTTGCACATTTTAATTTTATTTTTAAATATTATTTAAGGAAAATTTTTGACAATGATAGCAAAAAATAGCTAATTCATTTCTCTGATTCAGTAAACTTTTATTTTTTATAAACTTAGTAATATATAGTTTCTCATGTATGTACAAAGGACATGGGTCATTTAATGGCCTACATATTCTAGCTTTTCTTATTAATTTCATTTTACTGTAGGTGTTTTATTGGATTCTTTTAGGTGCCAGAAGTACTTTGAGAGAGATTTTGATTTCTATATTTATTTATCCTAAATGAACTTTGATGTTGATTGAACCATTTTTTTGAACTCATGGCTTGTGCAGCTTATATAGATTTTTATGCTTTCAGGATTTTCAATAGAAGAGATATTGCATTGGTATACTAATGATACATAATATCACTGATCATTGCAAAAGCTGCACATTATGATATACAAACTAATGGAGAGAATAACAGATCTATTTGGAGTGGTCTAATTTAAAATCCAACACACAATAATGACTTTAATAATAAAAAAAAAAAAAAAAACACAGTTTTGTCTTTCATTCTGAACCAGGTGCCAACCTAGCACATAAAGGAAAAACATGTTGTCATTAAAAAAGCTTTTCCATTTTTTCTTATTTTTTCACAATAACTAGGTTAAGTAAATTTGGGTAGAAGATGCATCCTTGTCTAATGTCTTTCTATTTTATGTAATCATTCCATTCATTTTTTATCCATACACAGGCAGTTTGTTCTAAGTAAATACCACTGATTATTTTAATATCTTTTTGAAATAAATCAAGTTTTCAGTGTCATACATTATAAAATGCATTTTCATAGTCTATGAAATATAAGTATACATCCTTCTGCATTTGTATTGCTCTGATAGCATTTTGATCATAATGATTGCATTTTTTGTTCCAGTGTCTTTAATAAAGCTAAACTGTTCTTGCCCTATTTCTGATCTAGTTCTGTTACACACTAAATGGTTTAAAACAAGAAAATATTCTTAAAAACTGAAGTAGTTACCTTGCTGATCACTTCCACTGAGTCATTTGCAGATTGAAGAAACTTGATAAGTTCCAATGATGGAAATTTTTCTTCTAAGTTTGTTTCTGTTTCATTAATGAGCTTCTACAAAGAAAATTCAATAAAATGAAAAAAGAAAACAATCATTAATATTGCTTTATTGGAAATCACAAAAAACTTCTCTACAATAATACTTATTCTCAAGAAGAAAATTTGTGAAGTAGTTTTTTATGGTATTTTAAAAATCTTGTCTACTATGATTTAAAAATAGAATATCGTCTAGGCTTATGTCCATATCATGTTGAAACACCAGTTCCTGTATGATTGCTGAAGCTAAGCAATATTGAGCCTGGTCAGTACCCAGATGAGTGACCACTTGGGAATATCAGGTGCTGTAAGTTTGAATGTGAAGGTGGTGTCATGGATAATGGCTTGGAATTGGAAATCAGTGAGTGGAGTTTGTTATATTTATTTAGGTGCAAATACCGTTGGGAAAGGTATGACTACCTATTTTTCACCCCCGTCCCAACTATGATTTAATTAATAGGATTTATTACTTCCCCAAAAATATTTTCTGGCTCTAAATAACCTGCAAAAAGGTTAACAAACCATTAAAAAAAAAAAAAAAAAAAAAAAAAAAAAAAACAAATCAATCAAATTTTAATATTACTTAAATTTGTTCTTAGTTTTAATTAAGAGTACAAGTGCTGAAAATTGGTGCATATTCAAAATTTAGAAATAAAATACAAAGTAATTTCTGTTTTAGCTCAATTTTTTCTCAACCTTTGAACTCTGAAGTTCTGATATTCTATATACCTTATCCCTGGTGTCCTGTACTTACAATGAGACATCAAATGTAGTGTCTGTAAGTGTAAAAAAAATTATTTCAAATTTGCCATAAGAAACTTTGTGTTGACACTCATCTCTGTCTTCACTCTGTTTCTTCATTAATTATAGCACTAATTCTAGTTTTCATATCACATTTACCACTATCTATGTTATCAAACAATGTTGTCTCCAAATCATGCATGGGTGGGCAATGTAATGAATAATGGCTCAAATTTGTTAATTGGAGAGCAGAGTTCCAATTCCAGTTGGGTTTATTACATTCACTTATGCACAAATACCCTTGCGAAAGGGTATGAATCCTTCTCTTCTTCCCACCCCCAGGTATGAGTTAATTAGAAAGACTTGCATTGCTAAATCATTATTATCAAAAAGTAAAAGAAAAAAAAAATTACAATCTAAAAATATTTTTTGGCTTTAAATAAGCTGCAAAAAGGTTGACAAACCATTAAAAAAAAGAAAAAAAAAAAAAAAACCCCAAATCGATCAAATTTTAATATTACTTAAATTTGTCTATAGTTTTAATTAGAAAATGAATGAATCAATCAATAGATAACCTTCTATAGCTGCCCCCCACCACCACCACTACCAAAAAAGATTTATACCAAATAATGAATTTACCTCGTCTAGCTTTCTTTCTGAGCACACATTTTTGATTTTTCCATAATGTGATCAATACAAGATTTATAAAAAAGGTTGGGAACTTGCATCAGATATCAAAGGATTGACTTTTTTATGACTTATCAACCCCTTTAAAGCTGAAACATTTTTGGATTATGAGAATTTTTTTCGAGGTAATTAATGATTTTCTGATGCAAGTTTTACTAGCTGGGAGAAGAGGTGGATTCATACCTTTCCCAAGGGTATTTGCACATAAGTGAACCCGACTGGAATTCGAACTCAGCTCCCCGATTTCTCATTCCGAGCCACACACACATCCCAGAGCGCCTGATATTTCTGAGTGGTCACACATCTAGATACTGAATACTAGGTTCAACGTTACTTAACTTCGATGATCGGGTGAGAACAAAATAAGAAAATAAAACAATTACTCATTTTCGTTTAGGTATAAAATTACATCACTTAGGGCCCTCATAGTTTACCTTCACTTACACAATCAACTAAAAGAATATTTTTAGAGAACGTTCTTAAAATTTTGAAAAATTAACGATATTTCCCTCCACTTTTTCTGTTTAAATAAAATAAAATCTTTACATTTACCTCGAAAAAATCACTCGGGGGACGAAAAACGAGTTGGTTAAAAATTTTCCTCTTTTTTTTTCTTTAATATTTTCAAATCTTGTTTGAAACTAATTAATTTATTATTAGTAGTAAAATTACTTGAACGTTGCGATAAAAGAAAAAAATGCAACAAAAATATGATGAAAGTGAAAAACAAATTAAGAAGTTTCTCTTTCGACAAGCTTATAAAAAAATCTTTTAAACAACAAGTATATCAGTCACAGAATAAAATAAGTCACAAGGATTCTTGATGCTAGTAAAGCACCAAGAAGCCGTATTTATTTTTTAATCATAGAACGGATGCTTTGAAATAACTTATAATTTTAAACATTTTTTTTTTTTTTGTATTTCTGAAGCGCTGACACCAACTGAATATCGCGGGGTCGGGTAATGAATTCAGAATTGTTAGGGAGATTGTTTGGTAGATCATTAATTACTGCTGAAGAGTGAGATCGATTTTATTTTTTTAATGACATTTAATTATTTTACAGTACTTGTGCAGGACATAAAAATTAACAGCACAAATATTCACAATTTATTTGAAGATTATTCCGATCCTAAAAAAAATGTACATATTGTAAGTTGGCAGTATTTAATTGATACGCGTACATTAAATGTTAAAAAAAAACTAAAAAAACAACAAAAAAACAACTAATATTTTTTTTAGTTATGAATCATGACAACCAGTCATTTAAACTCAAAAATTAAAATAATTCCCATGATATGAATTACAATGATTTTTTTTTAAAGCCGAGATATTCACAAAAGAAAAAAATTTTAAATATAAAAAAAAATAAATTTTTATTTTATCAATACACTTTTTTTTAGAATTTTTTTGATTTTCCAAAGTTTATTAACTTGGTTGACTTGACAACAATCATAATAATAACGGAACAAACGATTTTAGAAAACTTACTTTTTTTCGAGCAACCCGATTTTTCTCGGCGAGCACGCACACATCATTCAAGCTCTTATATATCTTATCGTCCAAGCACCATGGATTCATTACACCATCCATTTTAGAAAATAACTTTCGAAGTTTCACAAAAATTAGTCAAAACATAGCGCGAAATTATACTTGTTTACCTCAAAAGTCAGGAGATCGCATTGACGGAAAAAGAAGGGCAGAAAATTTGTTGAAAACTTTTTAAATATTTAACTTTAAAAAATAAATAATATGATGATGATAAGATAATAATAAATCCTACTAGCACATAAATAGTATATTGAAGCCGGAAAACTGAAATATTAACTGCGAGATTTTTCAAGGAGACTTTGTCTTTTTGCCTTGAACTTCTCTTAATATTGAATTTTTAAGACATGGTATTGATAAAACCTAAAAGTAAATCAATTATTCTACAATACATGGATGACTTGAAAATACATTTTGGTTATATGTTCATATGGTTTGACTTAAACAAAGTGCAAAAGCTACATTTAAGAAAAGTAACAGACCAGGTTCTATAGCCTTGGATGGCAACTGGTCTACCACTGAAAGAAATGGCAACCTACTGCAGGAAAAAATCTGCCTTGTCAATCATGTATTAAAAGATACATCATCGCCTATGCATGTATCACGCATGGCACATAACTGACTGAGATTTGTGAAAGCTGTGGATTACTCCACTTACTTTCGAAAAAAAAAAAACACCACTAGGGGATACTCTAAGACTATAAATAGGCAGTGACATTCTATGGCATTCTCTTTTTTCCCTATTTCACTCAGGGGCAGCAAGATGTAGGTCAAATGAAAACGTTTTCCCCTCTGGGGAATGCACATGTGTGCACACACACATACATGCACATATGCACCTTTCACTTCATTTTCTCTAGGACTTTCTCCTACACCAAACTACATACACACAAACACATTCTTTAGTTTTTTAATTTTCTTTATTCATGTACATTGTTTTGTAACATACAACAATCTTTTATTGTCTTGTTTTTTAATACATACTTATTCTTTGTTTCTATATATAGTTTTGTTGTTATTTCTATTTTTTTACTTGGACTCACATTCTGAGTCCACTATTTTTGTTGTGGGATACATATACCAGGAGACATGTGTTTTCTGACTTAAACACTTGACCAGCAAACCTGCAACAAGGCTATGGAATTTAGGGTTGTGAATTGGTGTATTGTAGGTGTGTATGTGATCATATGTAAACAGTTAAAGAAGAAGCACACATATAAAAAATTTATTCCCTAGTAAATCTGGGTTCTTGTGTCAAACACAAAAGCTTAGTAGAAATAGCAAATCATAATAGGTGCAAATCACAAAATAAAACTCAACCATTGCATAAAATTTTAAAGGAAATTCCTGATGCTCTCTTCTTTATGTCAAAAGCCTTCTGGACCTTGATGTTGATTTGCCTTGTCCTCTTGCTGTCAAAATTGCCCTGAGCTCTATTTAAATAGGCTCACAAAGCCCCATTCGGGTTCTTACAAGGGATAGAAACCACATCTTAAATTAGTCAGCATATATGAAAAAATAATTTTCCATAAACTGGAAATGGATCCTCCACAATTTTGGTGGCTTGAGTTGAAAAAGATATAGAAGGGTAATAACTTATTACCCAAACCGTCTGGCCTTCATAAAAATACACTTCTCCCAAAAGAACGTGTACTAAGGAAAGCAACCTAGACCAGGGGTCAGTAACCTTTTGCTAACTATGTGCAGAATTAGGGTTTTAAAATCAGTGTGCCAACAACATACATATTTTTATACAAGTCAAGGTCAATATACCTGCTCTACAATATATTTTATATAGTAATATATAGTACATATACTTCAGCATATATTCAAATTGAAAATAACTTCTTTGTATTGCAGTAGTTATTGGTTCAGACTTCATGATGTCATTTGCAGCTGTGCGCCATTGAAAATTGCTTGGTATACCACGTGTGGTACACATGCCATAGGTTGCTGACCCCTGACCTAGACAATTAAACTTTTATTCAAGGCTAACATTTTAAAAGTAATAAAAATAAAATTTTTATATACAAATCTTGGGTTTCTACTATGGACTTTTTATTCTTTTTTATATATAAACTGTAGGGAAACAAAGTTCTCAATGTTATAAAAAATTAGTTTATCTCCCATTGCTCCTGCTGCTATTGGAAGATTCTTTTATCTACTTTTAATGGTATAACCCAGTTTTCACACTAAATAAGATTTAGCACATAACTATAAATGCTAAAATGAGTGTGGCCCAAGATCTAAAAGGAGATAAATGACTTTTAGCTGACTCCAGGGAACTGCACCCAAACCGGTAACAATCTACCTCTCAAGAAAAGATATGTGTTTGAACATTCCAGATGGCCCTAAGACAGCAACCTTTGTTTGAATGACAGATACGTGTATCAAACTATTTCTAACTGAAATGTATTGGAATCTAACTTTTGTTTGGCTACACCTGCTAAAAGCATGTTTTTTAGCAACTCTCTCATTTCATGTCTTTGATGTATGTTGCATATAAAATATCTTTTAAACTGTTCAATTGTCTCTTCTTTGTCATTAAAAATCCAATAATATCTCTTTAGCATGTTTGTTTTCTTTTTCTGGTCCAGAAGTAAGTTCAGCTAAGTAATGATAAACGTGCTTATAATGGTTGAGCCCAAGTAGAAGGGTTGGCAAAACATGTTCAAATGCTATTTGTTGGGAAGTAGAAGAGAGTTCAGTCATCTGTTAACCAGGAAAAAGAGATGTTCCCCAGTGGGGATGTCTTCATCCACATGCTGTTGTTGTCTTTTAAAAAACTTAAACAGTGCAACCTAAAGGATATTTGGCAAAGTCAAGTGGGGTAATAAAATTTCTGATTTCTTTATTACTAATACCATGGTGTTACAAAATAAAATAAGATATATCTCGGCTGATTTGCAGGCAAATAAACTAACATACTCAAGAGCAAGAGCTGGATGTGAACGGGACAACGCCCCGTCACAAATTGACCATTATCGTCGTCTACGCATAAGCCTGACGCACGAGTTCTGGTCAAAAAATATAATATTTAAAGTGTTTCTATTTTTCGACCAATAAAAATGCTTCCCTCCCAATTATACTCACGTCGTTTTTCGAGCATGTTAAGCCATAAAAAACACCATAAAAGGGGTCACACGGGGAAGTACAACAGCAGTCAACAGGAGGCTAGGGAAGAGACCTGTCACGGTCAGTCAGCAGGAGGAGCACCACGCCAACCAGTGTGAACTACTATGAGAGATCAACCCAGACCGGAAGCCGGCTTATGAACTATACTACAAGGTAGCTGTCCCAAACCCGCATGTTCCTATTGAAATAAATCACGTAAATCTATTTCTGCTGTTGTCGTATTTCTTTCTTGCAACCATATGCTTGTCTATAAGAATGGGAAAATGTATTACTTTTTTTTTTATTCATTATTATTATTTTATTTAATGATTTTGTTTCATTTTCCCACAAAACCAAAAATCTGATTAATATAGATAATCCATTAAAAGAACTAAATCAAGAAGAGACAAAGAAATATCTAGAAATCCAAGAGGCAAATGTTATTGAAGTGCTTAAGAAAAAAGTTTTAGAAATCTGTATAAAGATTTGGTAAATACTAAGTGGATACAAATAAAAATAAAATTTATTTAATTAACTTATAATTTACAAAGAAAGATAGAAATTACACAGAATTTAAAACATATATCAAATTATTAAACTACAAAGTATGTATAGTTATTATTAAAAATTTTATACTTTTCACATAACAAACTTTCAAAAATTTTAAAAATTTTTTAATAAAAACGATAATATTAAAATTGTATAAAAAATAATTAAAATATTGTTGGAGTTGTATAAAAATCAATATAGAAACTATTTAATAAAAAGTTAATATTGAATTCTACTAAAAAGCTAATTAAGAAAATATAACTTTAAACTTAGTATCAGCATATATATATATATATATATATATATATATATATATAGAGAGAGAGAGAGAGGGGTATAAAAACAAGCAAACCCTTAAGTAACTCTCTCTTCCTGTTTTTCCTCCTTTCAAAGTATGTGCTATTAACTTTTCACACTGAAACAAAAAGCGTTGTGGATCCTTCACACAATCATACTTGCACAGGCAAGTCACACTCAAATACAGTCATTAACAATTTTTGTTGTGTATTCCATTTATTCTTAGGAAAAGTCATTTTTAAATTTTTGTTATTTTGTTTAATAAATGTTATCTTGTATTGCAAATAAATCGGTCTCTGTTGTTTATGCAGTACATTTTCACCACCATTATTTCATGTATTTTAAATTCCTCTTGTAAGAAACCTCATACATAAATTATAGAAATAGCCAACACACTAAATTACTAACACACTTTCCTTGAAAAAGAAACCACCAAAATGAAGCCAGATGGTTTATATATACAGTGTAACCCGGATATAAGAGAGTTGTCAGGACCAGAGAAGAAGTCTCTTATATTCGTGTTTCTCTTATATCCGGGTTTGGTCTATTTTGCTTACATTAACATAGGCTCTAATTTGGGACCAGAGAAAATCTCTCTTATATCTGGGTTTCTCTTATATCCGGGTCTCTTATATCCGGGTTACACTGTAGAAAAAAACATGAATGAAATTTGATGTGTAAAGATTTGAAGAAAAAAACAGTTCCAAATTGATGTTATAACCCCCCCCAAATAAAGCCAGATGATTTGTTGTTGGTGTATGCTTGTAGTGTATTGAACTGTTCATAACTTCAACATTGTTTCTTTCTTTATCCTTCTGTATCATGTTTTGTTAATACATCTATCAATTGTTGTTTGAATTTCATATTTTTAATTTTTTTTACCTGAATTTGCATGAGTCTGCCAAATATTGTTTGCAGAACAAATGTACTAGGAGGCATGAAAATGATAAAATCTGTTGAGGGAATGGAAAGTATTATCTTAAATTTGAGGACACCCGTTCCAGAAATCTGAATATTCATCAAAAGAAGCCACGAAAGCAGCTTTGCCAATTGCATCTCTTTAAACTTCAACTTTCACCTTCAAA